GAGAGAGAGAGAGAGAGAGAGAGAGAGAGAGAAGAGGGAGACAGGAAAAGTCTAGTCTGCCCCAGGGGAACAGCAGGAAAAGAATGGAAAGACAGGAGCGGCATAAAGACCATTAAGTGGGCGGGGTCTGTCTTTTAAGGGGTGCTTTGCACCTGCCTGCAGACTCCACGGAACCCTGGGCTGACCAGGGTACTGCCTGAGTGCATTCTGCCAGGTGACAGGGGCAGGCCAGCATAGTGCCCGAGTCCTCATAATGGAGCTCAGGCAGAATGTCCACTTCTCTACGAGGACACTCGATAAGGGCTCTTGTAACACAATCATGTTTGGGGTGTTGAAGCCCTCAGGCTGGGATTAGTGTCCTTGTAGTGTCCCCTCACTCACCCTTCCTACCCTATGACAGACAGTAAGGCAACATCTGCCGGGCAGTGGCGGCGCACGCCTTTAATCCCGGCACTCGGGAGGCAGGTGGATCTCTTTGAGTTTGTGGCCAGCCTGGTGTACAGAGTGAGTTCCAGGTCAGCCAAAGTGACACAGAGAAACCCCATCTTGGAAAAAAAAAAAAAAAAAAGGCAACATCTATGAGCCAGGAAATGGTTTGTCACCAGATACTGTATCTGCTAGAGTCTTCCTTAGCGGATTACCAACTCCTAAGATTTTGTAAAATGTATTTCTGTTGTTTACAGACAGCCCATGGATGCATTGCTTTGGCATCTTTCTGCAGACCGAATGATATGACTTAGGTCTTGGTTCTCAGTCACTCACCAGGGCCCCGGCGCCGTCGCGATGGCTCCACCATCCATGGTGCTTTCCCTTTCTCCAACAAAGTGATGATATTTGGTCTCCGACAGACCAGACCTGGACATGGAACAGATAAGGGAACTGACCGTTACACGGCCACCTCTGAAATCGGAGCCTTGCCCTGTGTCAATAAACACGTGGGTTTGTCATCACAGTGGAAATACACAGAATGTGTGGGGCAGCTGAAGGACGGGATAGGGTGGACATAAAGGGTGGACGATGGTGTTTCTAAGAAGCGGTGTCTTTCCTATGCTAGTGAGACAGCAAGTGCACAGGGCTCCTCAGGATTGGCCAGAGAAATCAACAGTGATTGGAGCTTAGACCTCCATCCCATCCCTAACCTCACAGCAGGGCTAGTGAGAGAGAGACTGGAGACTCGTCAATCACGCCAATGTATGAAGCCTTCATAACCGCAAAGGAGGAGTCTAAAAGCAACGAGCATTGCTGAGCACAATGTGTGGAGAGCAGCGTTCCTAGGGAGGGCATGGCAACTCTGCACTCTTTCCCCTGAAGCTCTCCCGATTCGCCTTTTCATCGGAGGCCTCTGCGGCCTCTGCAGCCTCTTTTAGGCTGAACTAGTAAATGTAAGTATATTATCTCAGTTCTCTCAAACCTGGAAGGGGGCAGTGGGTGGCATCCCCGGCACCACCAACCTACAGTTAGTTGGAAACTCCAGAGGCCTAGACTTGGACATGGTATCTGAGGTAGGGACAGTCTTGTGACACTGAGCTCGTGATCTTTGGATCTGATGCTGACCCAGGTTAAGCAGTGTCAGAATTACAATGTCTGTCCAATACACAAGTAAGAATTGTCTGGTGTTGGGATAACCTTCACCCCTCTGAGGTCAGACTATTCTGTGCTAAAAGGTTAAATGTGAGAGTTGGTTTAAAGTTTTCTTATAGAGAGAAGATGAAAACTAAGTTATATACAATAGTGTTGTTTAAACTAGCTGTGGTGGTCTGAATGAAAATAGCCCTCACAGGCCCATAGGGAGTGGTGCTATCAGCAGGTGTGAACTTGTTGGAAGAAGTATGTCACTGAGGGGCCGGACGTTGGTGGTGCTCGCCTTTAATCCCAGCACTCGGGAGGCAGAGGCAGGTGGATCTCTGTGAGTTCGAGGCCAGCCTGGTCTACAAGAGCGAGTTCCAGGACAGCCTCCAAAGCCACAGGGAAACCCTGTCTCGAAAAACCAAAAAAAAAAAAAACAGAAGTATGTCACTGGGGATGGGGCTTTGAGGTTTCATAGCTCAAGTCAGGCCCAGTGACACTCTTATCTTCCTGCTTCCTGCGGATCCAGATGTGGAACTCTCAGCTCCCTCTCCGGCACCATGTCTGCCTGCGTGACGCCATGTTTCCTGCCATGATGATAAAAGACTGAACCTCTGAACTATAAGCCAGCTCCAATTAAATGTTTTTTTTTTTTTTTTCCCCTGAGAGTTGCCATGGTCATGCTGTCTCTTTGCAGCAAGACACCCTGACTAGGACACTAACTATAGAAAAAAATATTTTTTCTGAACACAGGGTCAAAGGCTCTTGGGACAAGGCCTTAAGCTATCATCCTCCGGCTCTAAATTGCCATCATTCTGTGACCCATTGTTATGTTGTGCCTCCATTCAAGGCTCTGAGGTCAAAGTGTACATGTATTAAATAAAAAGCAATAATGTATAGTTATAGACCATACAATAACTTCTATGCATTAAAATAATGTGTGTGTCACACCCACACACACACACACACACACACACACACACACACACACTCACATACAAAACCAAAGAAACAGCAACTTGGACCCATTAAGGATTTTAAATGTTAAAGTATTTAACTTGACATGGCCTCAAGCTCTACAATCTGCATGTCCCCTTTGCCAGCTTTGCCAGAGTTCGTGGTGGTTTGGATAAAAAATGGCCCCGACAGACCCATGGAGGGTGGCACTATTAGGAGGTGTGGTCTTGTGGGAGGAAGTGTCTCACTGGGGGGCAGGCTTTGAGATTTCAGAAGCTAAAGCCAGACTAGCGGCTCACTCTTTCTTCCTGCTCCCTGCGGATCTCAGCTCCCTCTCGGCATAATGTCTGCCTTCTTCCTTGCATGTTCCACCACGACAATAATGGACTAAACCTCTGAAACTGTAAGCCAGCCCCAATTAAATGTTTTCCTTTATAAGAGTTGTTGTGGTCTCTTCACAGGAACTCTAAGACAGGGTTCTATTTTAATTCCTAGTTTTCTGTTACCCCCCCCCCCGACTCGTAGGACTAGTCTCATATAAACAAGCACACCCTTTCTCTTTCAGAAATATGAATTCTAGCTTTTCGAGGCTCTTTTTCTTAGTCCTAAAAAACCTCTCAAACTCTTTCCTTTCCACCCACAGCCTTGGCGATGGGAGCTACAACCTTGTTACCATCTGTGTTCAATCAGTGTCTATGTTCACCTGTTAATACCTGTCAGCTCCTTATAGTAAATTCTTATAAAACAATAATGAAAAAGTTATGTACAGGGGGCTGAAGAGATGGCTCAGAGGCTAAGAGCAACATCCGTTCTTGCAGAGGACCTGGGTTTGGTTCCCAGAATCCACCCTGTGACTCCAGTTTTAGGAGATCCAATGCCTTCTTCTGGCCTCCGTGGGCATCAGGCATAAACATGGTACACAAATATATGTGCAGGAAAAATACTCACACACATAAAATAAAATATATAAATTATAAAATAATAGTTTACAAATGACTCACAATTCCATTTATAAAATAAATAACCAAAAGAAATAAAAACATATGCCCCGGGGCTAGTGAGGTGGCTCCACAGTTTAGAACACTGTTCTTCCAGAAGACCCCGGTTCAATTCCCAGCACCCACATGGCAGGTCACAACTGTCTGTAACTCTAGTTCAAGGGAATCTGATATCTCCACTCCAATGCACATAAAATAAAGGTTAAATAAATTATAAAAAGAAATATGCCCCAAAACCTGTTCAAGAAGCTGGGCAGTGGTGGTGCATGCCTTTAGTCCCAGTACTTGGGAGGCAGAGGCAGGTGGATCTCTGTGAGTTCAAGACCAGCCTGGTCTATAAGAGCTAGTTCCAGGACAGCCTCCAAAGCCACACAGGAAAACCCTGTCTCGAAAAACCAAAAAAAAAAAAAAAAAAAAAAAAGCCTGTTCGTGACTACTCACATTGGCAATTCATTAAGAGTAGAACAACCTAACTGCTCACTGGTTAATGAAACATAAATGAGATGAAGTCCAGCCAGACAACGTAATTATTCAGTAATGAATCAGAACAAAGTACTGACAATGTGCTGCAACAGGGGTGAACCTCAAAACAGTATGCCAATAGAGAAAAAGCCATGTGTTTACCATTGCTTTTGTACACAAGGCTCAGATCAGCAAATCCAAAGACACCGAACAAGGGCTAGGGATTGCGCAGTCTCAAGAGATACACAGGCGTGGGAAATGAACTGTACTTGACTATAGGGTTTCTTTGAAGAGTAATGAAAATGTCTTAAAATTGACCATGGTCACTGATGTCTAATGCTGTGATTACAGTAAAAAACCAACTGACTGTGTAATTCAGAAGCACACACGCACGCGCACGCACACACACACACACACACACACACACACACACACACACACACACACACACACGAAACGCACACAACTTAAGCGGCTTCCATTCTCCTGAACACGCCCTGACTGACACATGCCTTCACAGGCCGGCCGTGGACTACTGACCGGGTGAGAGAGGGGAGCATGACACCTTACCAAGCGAGACCAGAGTCTGATAGTTCTCCAACATGACATCTTCGTACAAATCCTTCTGGATGGGACTCAGCCATTCCCATTCCTCCCGTGAGAAGTAGATAGCTAAGTCCCCAAAAGTCACTGATGCCTGAAATGAATAAAGTTACAAGTCCAGTCAGCCATGAGCTTCAAAAGTGCCTTCTGCATGGCAGAGAGCATGGCAAATACATGAGACAGGTCACGCCAGGGGCTCTGGGACCAAAGAAGCAGAGACGCTAAATAAATTTAATAGCATATCGTATAACATAATAAATCTGTTATTAAAGATTATGTTGCATTGGGGGCTGGAGAGATGGCTCAGTGGTTAAGAACACTGGTTGCTCTTCCAGAGGACCTGAGTTCAGTTCCCAGCACCCACATGGTGGCTCACAACCATCCATAATGAGATCCGGTGCCCTCTTCTGGCCTGCAGACAGACATACACACAGAATGTTGTATTCATAATAAATAATTTGCTTTGTTTTGTTTTGTTTTTAGAGACAGGGTTTCTCTGTATTGTTTTGGAGGCTGTCCTGGAACTCACCATGCTGGCCTCAAACTCACAGAGATCCACCTGCCTCTGCCTCCCGAGTGCTGGGATTAAAGGCATGCGCCTACTGACTGGCTGGAAATTATGAGAAATTGCCCTTGAGTTGATGCGACAGTCATCTGACCATCTCCAGCGGTGAAGCAGGCGAGTCATAAATAAGGCTTGCCTACACCTCACTTTTCCGTTTCTAAATTATACTCCCCATTCTTGTACCTTAACCAGGCAAACTGCTCCCATGTGAGTATTGGTTTCACAAAGAAAAACAAGGTGATTCAGCTGGATTAATCTGACACATACACACCTAACGCCTTTGGCTGAGTGGGTCCCACCCGGGTACCAATCCCCAGGCAAGGAAAATACAGAGCTCTCATAGTCTTTCTGGGGAGGGCATTTCTGAGTCCCACAGAGCCTCTACAGATGCTGAATGGATGAGAGTGGTCATGTGAACACCGAGAGGCATGGCAATGGGTATTGGTTATTTCTCAGGTCCCATCTCCATAGAAACGGGAGGACCACCAGGTGTCACATCCATCTCCTACAGGCAGGAAGTCTCCAGAAAGAAAACAAATGGAATATTTGGGAAGGGGGCCACTACTTACCTTGGATTTTGATTTCCCTCGTGCTACAGGCATCCTTTACCCCGACTTTGACGGTCCACATTCAGAGGCTGAGGCAGAGTGCTGGCAGAAAAGAGAGATGAGATCATGAAGCTCAATGGTCTTTGGTGTGGTTCCTTAGTCCCTGGTCCCCAGTCACCTCTCCAAAGGCCCAGGCACTTGGAACCAGTTGTCTGTCCATCCATCCACCCATCCATCCGTGTGTGTGTGTGTGTGTGTGTGTGTGTGTGTGTGTGTGTCCATCCCACTCTTAGGCTTGGGAAAGAGCAAGGAGAGAATCATACAACACTCTGCCCCTATAATCACAGCAGGCTCCCGATCAGAACACAGATGAAGAATGTGTGGGCACCCACCCAGCCCTCCATCTGACGGGTGACTGCTGGTGCCAGGCACCACAATGAGAGTTAAAGTGGGAAGGTACCTGTTGCCGTGAACCATTTGTTCAGGAAAGGAAAACAAGCCCACATGGTACGTGGTGACTTAGGAGCAAGAGCAAGGATCCTGACTGTTTTGTTCCCTGCCCTACTCCCAGAGCTACCACACCCAGAGAAGCTGCCTAACAAAAAGCATATGCTGGGGCTGGGAATTTAAGAAGTAGTCATAATAATTACTAGTTGCATTGATTATTTAAAAGATTAGTAAATACTGACTACACATAAAGCTTTGAAACCATTAAATCTGGGGATTTGTTTTCTTTCTTTCTTTCTTTTTTATTTTGTTTTTCGAGACAGGGTTTCTCTGTGGCTTTGGAGCCTGTCCTGGAACTCTCTCTTGTAGACCAGACTGGTCTTGAACTCACAGAGATCCACCTACCTCTGCCTCCCGAGTGCTGGGACTAAAGGTGTGCGCCACCACCGCTGGGCTCAAATCTGGGGTAATTTGTTACAGCAGCAACATTACCTTCTGCTCTTTCCTTTCAGGTTATAGACCCAACAAATGGGTTGCTTCTTCTGTCAGCGAGCAATGCTGAAAACACATGGGCTGGAATGAAATGAAATGAAGGGTCTGTTGATGACGGCTGAGGCCACTCCAAAAGGGTTCTGCGACATCCACCATGCCAGCGTCTAAATGCGGCTGGCCCCGGGCCCTCCTGTGTCTACCCCGACCACCTCCATTTATCTATCTCCCTCAGGGTACCCTGATTAGGAAGACACACAACAGGTTCCACAGGTCGGGGTAGGCTGCACCTTCCACTCAGGCATACTCAGGCTGACACCAGGAAGGCAACTGCTTGCCTAGGGGGATGCACCACTGCTCAAATCAGAGAGACCAGAACATCTGGACGATGGCCAGATTCCAAATGCAGACACACATTCCTTTGGGATTCATCACCACAGTCCTACCAGCAACACAGGTCAACAACACAGCACAACGCCCCCACCCCCCAGCATTACAACAAAGGCCAGACCCTACCCTCAGCATGTCCCAGGGCATCAGTGTTATTTCTTATTCCATTTAGCCTTCCATTAACACTCTGACGGGCGCAGGCCGCAATCTATCCTGCTGTACAGGAGGAAAAGCCTCATCCTTATCTACAGGATCAGTTTTCCAGGGTAGCCATCCCACCTCCTGCTGCACAGGAGCCCCGTGGGTTGCCATGGCAACAAATGAGATAAGGCACAATCAATCATCACACCCTGCACACACTCAACAAAGCCGCTTGACTGACAGCTGGTCTCTCTCTCTCCCTCTCTCTCTCATACACTACTCTCACACACGCACAGCTAGCAACAACAGAGACACCCAGGACTGTGTGCTACGCTCGCTGCCCCCTCCAACCTGCGGTGGCTTCCTTTTCCCACGAAGGGGTTGGGACACGCACCTGTTCCTGGGCCCCGAAGGCCGTGTACCCCCAGACCATGATCAACAGCCCATCAGTCTGTCACACACACTCACACATACTCACACACACACTCACACACACTCACTCACACACACTCACACACTCACACACACACACTCTCTCACACACACACTCACTCACACACTCACTCACACTCACTCACGCGCACACACACTCACACACACTCACACACACACTCTCTCACACACTCACTCACACTCACTCACGCACACACACACACTCACACACACTCACACACACACTCTCTCTCACACACTCACTCACACTCACTCACGCACACACACACACTCACACACACTCACACACACTCTCTCACACACACACACACTCACTCACACACTCACTCACACTCACACACTCACACACAAACACACTCACGGGTACAACTGAGACGCTCAGAACTGGGTTCCCACATTCCACACATCCTTTCCACATGCCACAGATCACACAGTTGGTGCCCTCCTTCTCCCTCTCTCTCTTGGCCCACAGGCCTAGTCAGTCAGTCAGTCAGTCTGCCCGTCTCTCTCTCTCTGTCTCTGACTCTCTCTCTGTGTGCCTTTCTCTCTCTCTGACTCTGTCTCTCTCTCTCTGTGTCTGTCTCTATGTCTCTCCTCTCCTCTCTCTCTCTCTCTCTCCCTCTCTCTCTCTCTTTTGGCCCATAGGCCTAGTCAGTCAGTCTGCCTGTCTGTCTCTCTCTCTGTCTCTCTAGTTAGTCAGTCTGCCTGTCTGTCTCTCTCTGCTGTCTCTCCTCTCTCTGTCTCTCTCTCTCTCTGTCTCTCTCTCTCTCTATCTCTATCTCTCTGTCCCTCGGCCCACAGGCCTAGTTAGTCAGTCTGCCTGTCTGTCTCTCTCTCTGTCTCTCCTCTCTCTGTCTCTCTCTCGCTCTGTCCCTCGGCCCACAGGCCTAGTTAGTCAGTCTGCCTGTCTGTCTCTCTCTCTGTCTCTCCTCTCTCTGTCTCTCTCTCGCTCTGTCCCTCGGCCCACAGGCCTAGTTAGTCAGTCTGCCTGTCTGTCTCTCTCTCTGTCTCTCCTCTCTCTGTCTCTCTCTCGCTCTGTCCCTCGGCCCACAGGCCTAGTTAGTCAGTCTGCCTGTCTGTCTCTCTCTCTGTCTCTCCTCTCTCTGTCTCTCTCTCGCTCTGTCCCTCGGCCCACAGGCCTAGTTAGTCAGTCTGCCTGTCTGTCTCTCTCTCTGTCTCTCCTCTCTCTGTCTCTCTCTCTCTCTGTCCCTCGGCCCACAGGCCTAGTCAGTCAGTCAGTCAGTCAGTCTGCCTGTCGGTCTCTCTCTCACCTGTTTCTTGAGGCCCACAGGCCTAGTCACAGTCTCCCCTCTCGCCCTCTCCCCACCCCCCCATACACACAGACACACGTGGGAT